CACAGGAGGTCACCATGGGGCAACAGATGGGACACGGTAGTTCCGTTTACTGTAAGGCAGAATGTGTTGGGGACCCGTGAGGGAAGGCAGGGCTGTACTGGGGAGCCACTGATGTGACCATGGGCAAGCCATTTTGAAAGCATTACTCAAAAGGTGCAGTGAAAACCTTGGGCCTTTGTGCTAAACAACAGACTCGGTAGAGAGCCAGAAACACGAGCATATGCACACGTGTGCACAGACATGCACGCACACACACTCAGAATGTGAAAAGGATGTCATTCACAATAGCACTGAAGAAAATTAACTACTTAGGAGTAAACTTAAGAAACACAAGAGGACGGGGACATGGTGGGAGAGCACCTGCCTAGCACCTGCCATCCAAGTGAGGGAGAAGTTCTCAAAGCAGCAGTCAGACCAAGGCTGGTGAAGCGGACAAGGAGGGGGTCAGCACCCCAGGCAAGATGACGGCATCTGCAAAAGCCCAGGCCCAAGGGACAACTTGTGCCAAAGGGGCGAGCACTGGCCCTCCTGTTCACCAACTGAATTTTCTAATCCAGAAACTGTGCACCTCTCCACTTAGGAAAGTCTTCCACATCCCTCAAGATGCTGTTTTAAGCATCCTCTCCTCTTGCTCCTCTTCCTGTTTCCCTTCTTTACCTTCCTATTTTCCCTCCTCTGTTCCTCCTCTTCCTTCTCCTCCTTCTTTTGTGGTGCTGAGGACAGAATGGAGGACACTGTACATTATAAGGAAGCGTTCTACCGTGAGGAAGAAGTTCTCAAAGCAGCAGTCAGACCAAGGCTGTTGAAGCAGACAAGGAGGTGGTCAGCACCCCAGGCAAGATGACAGCATCTGCAAAAGCCCAGGCCCAAGGGACAACTTGTGCCAAAGAGGCGAGCACTGGCCTTCCTGTTCACCAACTGAATTTTCTAATCCAGAAACTGCGCACCTCTCCACTTAGGAAAGTCTTCCACATCCCTCAAGATGCTGTTTTAAGCGCCCTCTCCTCTTGCTCCTCTTCCTGTTTCCCGTCTTTACCTTCCTATTTTCCCTCCTCTGTTCCTCCTCTTCCTTCTCCTCCTTCTTTTGTGGTGCTGAGGACAGAATGGAGGACACTGTACATTATAAGGAAGCGTTCTACCACTCAGCTACATCTCCAGATTCTGATTTTCATTTACTTCAATTAAACTTGGTGTCATTAAATTTTGTTAATATATAATCTCTTGGGTCAGACTGCATATTGGGGAAAGACCAAAGAGCTTCAATGGTCATAATGAATTAAATCATGTATCCATCCATAATATATATTTACTAAGCATATACTATATACCTGACCAACTTATACAACCTAGATTATTCTGTTTCTCAACTGTAAAATGTAAATAATCAGAGAAGCTATCCAAATTCAGGGTGTGCAATAGCTTGGCCTTGTCTGTGGCAAGTGTTGCATGAACAGTAAGAGTGGCCATACCTGTGACAATGATGTCTGTGGGACCACCAGAAAGGCCAACCTCTCCACTTTTCTTATTTTTTTCTTTTCTGTCAAGTCTGTTTCTTCTCCCTCCCCCTCTTCATCAATGACTAACCTCCACAGGATCTGGGGAGACTGCTTAGTAGGTAAAGTTCTTGCCATACAAGATGAGAACCTGAGTTTGAACCCATCAGCCACATACAGCCAGGTAACACACATCTGTACTGAGAAAGAGGGCAGGAGACACCACAGGCCAGCTAGACTGTTCTGTATACCAGCAAACAACAATGTGGAAGGCAAGGACCAGCATTTGAGGGTGTCCTCTGACCTCCAACATGCACCATCACACACACACACACACACACACACACACATCGGCACTCACATACATATCACACATACATGTCATAAACACACACATAGCATACGATGACATCTTTATATATTGGTAATTAACCTACACAACAGAACCACACAGACATGAACGTGCACGCACAGGAACCTATGAGAATTCTTACACTCACTCTCTCTTAGTTTAAACTTCTTGCCTTTCATGCCATGTATAATTTCTGAAGCTTTCAATGTTTAGAAGACATTCAAATGGACCGTACATGGATCTCACACAAAATTGGAACACTGAAAAACCCTCAAAAACTGCTACTACAAGAAGAAGATATTGACATCAGACTATTAATAAACAAGGCAATTCCCAGATTAAATAGGAAAAAATTAGCTAAATCATTGCTATAACGTCTCACTGAGCCATACTTAAGTGTCATACAATAATACTACATTTATATTTGGAAATATGAATACATTCTCCTTTCAAAGAGCCTGCAAGGTCTAGAATCATTTGCCGTCAACTTGACAAAAGTTTTACCTGTTTTCTTACGATGTTCTAGGTAGGAAAGCTGCTTATGCAGCTGTATGCGAAAAGCCCAGTTACCTAAGTCAGTCAGACACCTCGACTTACCCACTTCAGCCAGAGTTCTGATACAGGACTCCACCGACGCTTTCTGGGACGGAGTGGGCCAGGTACAGTTGTAGATCCTGAAGGCAGACTGCAGCAGCTGAATAAAGACGGGCTGGTGGGTCTGAAAACAGAAAGATGGTGGAGAACAGGGCCACGAATCCGTTAATGTGCCTGGTGAGGGATCCATGCAACGTCTGACAGGCTTATGAAATATGATGCAGCTTGGCCATGTATGCCTCAGCCCTACTTATAAATATCTTTCACAAACACTTGCTATGTGGCCACTTCATGAGAGAAAGCATGCCAGGCACTATAGAAAACTACGCTCATTTTAACTATATCCTCTGTCTCTGTCTCTGTCTCTGTCTCTGTCTCTCTCTCTCTCTCTTACATGTGCATACCTGCTTGTATGTGTTGGTTCCCCTCTGTGTGTGTTAATGGAGGCCAAAGGATGACTTCAGGTATCTTTCTAAATCACTCTACACATCAATGTTTGAGGCAGGGTCTCTCGCTGAACCCAAAACTCACTGTTTTGGATAGACTTGACTGCAGTGAGTTCCAGGATCCCCCAGTGCTGGGGTTACAGAGATCCATCATCCTACCTTGCTTTTTGAAGGCTGCTTGGGAATCTGAAGTCAGGCCTTCACGTTCGTGCAGCAAGCACTTTACCAGCTGAGCTATCTCCTCTGTTCCTTATCTATATTTCTAATCAGAAAAATATGCTATTTCCTGAAGTCAAGGGTATGAATTTCAATATAGCTTTTATAATCTTTTGTTCATCCCCAAGTACAAATAGAGCAGGTATCTCTGGGTTTGGTGTCTGGTTGACTCATACTGACACGAGGGTTAGTAGAGACAACTCCCATGCTGAAATACACGGTCAATTTCATGTGTTTCTACCTATTACACGTTTTTCCCTATATAAATTATAATTAGGCAGAAGTAGTGGTTCAAGCCTGTGATCTAAGCATTCTGGGGGCTGCAGAAGGACTGTGGGGAGTTCAAGGCCAGCTCAGGTCAAAGTGAAACGCTGACTCCAAAACAAACGAAAAAAAGAAATTATAATAGAAATGATACTTTTAAAAAGGTAATGTATAATCATTGTCTAATACTTGGGAACCATAGAAATACGTCTTCAATGTGGAGATAATCAAAGACAGCATCTTAAAGATAACATCATCCCTCATACCAACAGATACCAAAAAAGACACAAAAACTCAGAGATGCGTAATCCATTATATAATAATACATTATATAATAAAATGTATTAGATACAAATTTGTTATACCATATTGCTTAGGAACTAATGACCAAAAAATCTGGCTTCTATTCAGTAAAATTTTCTTCTGCTATTACTGACTGAAGGTTGGCTGATCTGCAGGTGGGAACTCATAGGTGTGAAGGCTGGTTGTATTTACTCAGAGTTTCTCTGAATATGAGAAGACATTGTTCACACAAACAAAAGTTGATGACTCTGTGATGCGATTCTGAGGTGTTATACTATTTAAGAATCATTTTTCTTAGGAATTAATCTTCCTTTTAAAACATGATTTTTAATGAGCCACCCTATAGGTATGCTATGATGTATTTACCTGTTCCCCTATTTGTGGGCATTTAAGGTTGACTTTAAGTATTATAAATAACCTATATGAAAAAATCTTAATTCTGTTAATACTAGGATAAATCACTAAGTTGGAACCGCTGGGCCAGATAACTGTCCACTTAAAAAATCTAATCATTATTTTAATACTTGGCACTCAACATATACATGTGAAAGGTCTCATTCTGCTTAGAAATGAAGGAAACTTTTTTAATTAAAAAAATTTAAATTTATTTATTTTTATTTTCTGTGTATGAATGTTATGCCTGCATGTGTGTAAGTGCACCCATGTCATGCAGTGCCTGCAAAGGATAGAAGAGGGCATCAGGTCTCTTAGAAATGGAGTTACAGATGGCTGTAAGCCACCAGGTGGGTGCTGGAATTCAAACACAGGGCTTCTTTAAGAACAGCCAGTGCTTTTACCTGCTGAGCCAGCTCTCCAACCCCAGGAAAAAGAATAACTTGGGGGGGGCTGTCTTTTTGAATCAGGGTCTCCTTTTAGCCCCAGCTGGCCTGGAACTCACTATGTAGACCAGGCTGGCCTTGAGCTCACAGAGATCTGCCTGCCTCTGCCTCCCGAGTGCTGGGATTAAAGGCGTGCGCCACCACATCCAGCTAGAAAAGATTACTTTTTAATATTTTATTTATTATTTTTATTTTATGTGTATGAGTGCATTGCCTACATGTATGTGAGGGCACCCATGTTGTGCAATGCCACGGAGGTCAGAAGAGGGAGTCGGATTCCCCTGGAACTGGAGTTAAGGTCGGTTCCTAGCAGCCACGTGACTGCTGGGAATCAAACCCGGGTCCTCTGCAAGACCAGTCAGTGCTCTTAACCACTGAGCCACCTCTCCAGCCCTGGAAAGATTATTTTTAAGATGAAGTTTCTTGATGTAGAATGAAGCTGGGAGGAAGGGGCCCAGCAAGAGGGGAGGCTGGGACAGGGGAGGGCAATGATGGGGTTCTCATATACTTGAATAAACGATGCATAAACTGGGTGGTTTATTAAACTGTAAATTTCAAAGTGAGTCAGAAGACAAATTGTAAAGCAAACAGACATTAAAACACAAAAAAACAAGAAGAAAGAGGCATGCAGAGGGTGTGAGAAAGTATAAGGATGTTTACACATGAAAACATCACAAACCCTTTCTCTGTATTATTATAAATTAATAATAGATAAATTTTGGTATACTCAGAAGATGGCATAAGGGTAACAAAGTAGAGCAATCACTGGGAGTGTTGGGACAGACTTCCTGGCTAAACGATAGCTTCCCCTAAGCAGAGAGATAGGTTCTTGGTGGCAGAGTGCATCCTGAGCCCTGGTACAGTTACCTGGAGGCTGGTGCTGTTGTCCGAAAATGGCGAATTGAAGAAGCCGCTCACTATGTTCATGACAGACTCAGTGACACACCTCTCCAGGAAGACATCTGCATGTTTCCTGTCTATGGTTGTGTTACACACCTGCGGAGCAAAGGAAAGCACATCTTCGCGTTATGATTCCATACTGGAACCTTATAAAGGTTGTCCTGGAACGGGTCTCCGTGGCCATGTGCATGCTTTGTAAAGTTCCTATGAATAGAAAGATTTGTGTCCAAATCCATTAAAATTCTATTCATCCGCAGTAGCTTATCCTTCAGGTTCAACTGTGATTTCAGCCTGGGACCATCATCTTTCCCTTCCCCAGGCCCAGTATTAACTTACTGCTTTCTTGTCTAGCATGTCCACCTCTCCCTTGGTCCACAAGTTTGGATTTGATGAAAACCCTCTGTCCCTCATTGAGAGGAAGCCCCAAAGGAACGAGTCATTAGGGTATAAAGTAGTGAGTGGGATTCATGGAGACTTAAGCCTCCTAAAATACCCTGGCCAAAGTGGAGGGGTTTGCATGTGAAAGCCCCCCCCCATTGGCTCATGGGATTAAATGCCTGGTCCCTAGTTGGTGATGCTGGTTTTGAAGGAGCTGCAAGCATCCCCAGCCTTTTTACATCACAACGGGACATCTTCATCTACAAAGCTAACCTTCTACCACTGTACTAGCTGATTACCCCCTGACCGAAAAAGAAAAATCTCTTAGTGTTTTAAGTCGTCTATTTTCTGCACACAGCCATCCTGGGCAGATTGTGGCCCATGGGCCAAGGATTGGACTTGCTTGCAAGGTGGGACCTGGTTGGAGGAAGTGACTCATTCATGGAGGGCAGACCTTGAGGTTTGAAAGCCCTGCCTCACTTCCTGTCAATTTTCAGCTTCCTGTTCTGCCAAGGAGTAAGGTGAGGAGTCCCAGGTACACATGTCTACACGGCGTGGCATCACTGGCTCCCTCCCTTCCCCTCCGTGATAGACTGTACCCTTAAACTGTAAGCTCAAATAAACTCTTAAGTAGGTTGTCAGAAATTTGGTGACAACACCAAAAAGAGTGAAAAATACAGGTGATAAAACACCATGACCAACAGCAACTTAGTTTTTTTGGCTAATGGCTCCAGAGGGATAAGGGTCTGCCATCATGATGGGAGGCAGGGGGTGGCAAACAGGGAGTTCACATCTTCAAACACAAACACTAAGCAGAGAGAACTGGAAGATGGACGCCCCGCGATGAACCCCCAAAGCCCACCCCCAGTGACGTGCTTCCTCCAGCAAGCCCACACTTCCTAAAGGTTCCAGGACCTCCCCAAACAATGCCATGGACTAGAGGCCAAGAGCTCAAATATTTGATCCTATGGGGGACGTTTTTCATTCAAGGGAGGATAAATCCAAACTGTTTCCCACACTTCGTTACCTACCGCTGATCTTGGAAGCTGGGAGTTTACAGCCTCCATAGAGCACTGGGGGCGGGGGCCCCAATACAAGAGCTGGGGACCGACCTGAGGATCGCCATGCTCCGGGCTCTGATCTGATTAAATCTGATTAAATGAGGCCTCTACTAGCTCTTTTGCTCAACTGTATATTTCTAAATGCCAGACTGAACAAAGTGCAAAAGCCAAGAGATATAATTGAAAACACACAAAAAAATTGAGAAAGAGAGAGACAGATACAGAGAGAGACAGACAGAGAGAGAGAGAGAGAGAGCGAGCGAGAGAGAGAGAGAGAGAGCGAGCGAGAGAGAGAGAGAGAGAGCGAGCGAGAGAGAGAGAGAGAGAGAGAGAGAGAGAGAGAGAGAGAGAGAAGCAAGGGCTATGAGAAGAGACTGGAAACCAGGGCAAACAAAGAAAAGTAGCATCACCACGGATGACGGAGCACACGCACGCTCGGGGCCATGTGGTCCAGATGTCCTCCGGAGACACAATTTTTGACTTTTCAATAAGAGCAAGTGGATGTAATTTAATTTGATACTGCTTTAAAATTTTTCACACAGCTCATAAAAGGGAAAAATTCCCTTCTCAAACCATGTGCTCCAGTATTGCTGGCTTGGAAAATAAGGGTGTTGCATGCCGAACCAGTTACTTGGATGGGAGGAAATGAGGGCAGGGTTTGCTCACGGCCGCTTAGGACGGGGCTCAGCCTTCCACCCAGCAGCTCTTTCTTTCCACGTCCAAAAATGACACTCACCCCCTCAAAGCTAAAAGGTTTCTTAGTATAACTGATATTATTGGGCTACTGGGAGGAACGGTATAATTAAACGAAATAAATTACATCTAATTATGTAATCTAGCAATTGTTCCAGTATGTGACAGTTCCTGCGTAGACAAGGTGTTCCAGACAGCAGATCCATTCCACAGTGGAGAATCCCAAACCCTATATATAATGGTTTTGTTTGTTTGTTTGTTTGTCTTTTTCAGACAGGGTCTCCCTGTAGCCCCGGCTGGCCTTGAACTCACAGAGATTCTCCTGCCTCTGCCTCCTGAGTGCAGGGATTAAAGACATGGGTTACCATGCCTAGCATATATATAATGTTTTTATCTTATGCATACATAGCTATGATAAAGTCTAATTCATAAATGTGAAACAGTAAGATATTATCATAATAAACAGCAAAAATTATAACATATTGTAACATTACGTCAATGTTCTCTCCTCTCTCTCTCTCTCTCTCACTGCCTCTTTTTGTACTTTATTTCTCACTTAAAAGAAGTACTAGGTGCTTCTCTTTGGCATATATGAACTTCAGCACCAGCAGTACGTGTGTTGGGCCATTGTTAAGTGAAGTAAGAATTACTTGAACACGGCCACAGCAATAATGGGACAGCTGATCTAATAACAGGAGGCCCATTAAGTGACCAGCGGACAGAGAGTCCATAGACCATGAACAGTTTGACGAAAAGGTGATTCATATCCTGGACCAGAGGGCATAGGATGACCTAGGATGGCATGACCCAGGGTGGTATCACACTCCTCCGAGTTTAAAAGACACAAATTTCTTATTTCTAGAATCTTCCATTCATGTTTCTGAACCTCTGACATGCTCAGATAACTGAAACTGTGGATGAGAGGGGACTACTGCAAATGTCTCTGAAATGAATGGAGCTATTAACATTTTAACAAAAGAAAGGCCTCCTCATTTTAGTTCAAGTTAGGTTATATTTGTGGACCACGGTAATCAAGGATTAAAATTTAAAATGATCCCAGAACTAATATTAAATTGGTTTGCCATGGTGGGCATGAATGAGGATTTAATTCTTTTTACTGAGCAGGCTGAAACTGGCTTTTTGTTAAACAGACAGATCAATGCTGGCACAACTGACCCAGATGTCCTTCTTCATCCAGCAACAGCCTATGCAGTGGGGGGGGGGGGGGGGGGACGAGGAGGGGGTCTTCTGGAGTTCTTGTGCTTCACATGGCATTACTTGAAGCTGGGCACTGGCCAAAGCTACCACCCAGAAATTTCCTCTTTGGTTAGTAGATTAATGAAAGTACTTTTTTTCTAGATAAGGCTTTACTCAAAGTCCTGAGGAGTGAAAGGCCTGTGTTCAACAAACCACACGAACCACTCCCTCTTCTCAAGATGCTTTCCATCTCTTATGAATGGTAACGGTCTCACCTTGAATTCTATGCTATAAGCTCATGAGCATCAGGAAATGTAGGAAGCCTTTCTTCTTAAAATCTTTAAAAATGCCTGGTATGGATCATATCTTTAAACCCAGCAGTCAGGAAACAGAGGCAGGCAAATCTCTGAGAGATCGAGGCCAGCCTGGTCTACAGAGTAAGTTCCAGGTCAGCTAGAGATACAGGAAGACCCTGTCTCAAAACAAAAACTTAAGAACTTATCAGGAACAAATAGCCTAATAAACAGTGCCATATTTCTCTATCCAGCTTTTAAACTTACTTTATTTAGTCTTTAAAACAAAGATTGGAAATGAATCAAATAAAATTACATCATGCTGAAAGATCGTTTTATATGTAAAACACATGTTTTTAAAGTTTCAATCTGTTTGCATATATTAATGACACACAATCACTTCCTATAAAGCATTTCCATGTGCTGTCACTACACTAACATCCACTGCAAAGCCAGCCTCCATTCCAACATCTCAATGCACCACCATGCTTTAATCTGGTTTTAGAATGGGTTTGAGATAGAAATCAAATCATTACAAATCATTTTTTCAGTCACTTCCTTCTTGCAAGTTGGAATGAGATTTCCTTTCATAGATTCATTCATTCATTCATTCATTCATTTATCTATAGTTATAAAGAATTATACAAAATGACTGATTTTACTTTCAGAGCTGTGAGTTATGTTTCACCAAAGGAAAAATTGTCAGAGGAGGGTGAGGACTCAGTCTATACGGCGTGCTCTGCTGGTCCTCTGAAATAAATTTAAAACACTACGACCAAGTTGTTTATGGACACATTGGAAGCCCCTCTTTACCACCAGCTAGCTCGTGCCTTCATGCGTGTTAGTTGGGTTCAGCTAACATGGAGTGCTGGCCAATTCAGAGAAAGGAAAAGAAGACAGGAACACCCTTGTACCTCTGCCTCCTTCCCACCCTGCCTGAGGAAGGCCCCCATGCTCCGTGGACCCACCTCCCCCGGCAGCCCTGTTTCAAGGGCACCAAGGCTCCTGTGCCCTGGCCTCCCAGCCTCTCTGGCCTCCAGGCAGTCACTCCTCACCAGGCCTTGCTCCCAACTCCAACCCACACTTCTCAGAGCGTGTCTTGTGTTTCCTACTGGAACTGGCTGCTATACCTGGAGATGATAATTATTTCTGTCAGTTTGATGACACGGCGTGATTTTACTTCATACTTCTCACACTGTTAATAAGGCTGGGCATTGTGCATGGAATCCAGTTCATTGCCACATCTGTCAAGTCAGAGCAGTTCAGACCTGCTAAACCACTTTCCAAAAGCCCAGTTACAGAGGACTGCACCCTACAGTCAGCTCAACACACCACACACAAGCTTTCTTTGGCCTTCTCACTCTGACTCTCTGTTTAGAATATCAACTTCGTTGCCTCTCATCGTGTAAACTATTTTTTTTCTTTTTGAGACAGGGTATCACTGTAGCCCCGGCTGGCCTAGAGCTCACTATGT